ATGTTTGTTTTTGTTTGTTGCTTGTTTTCATCTTCCAATTGTTGCTGATATATAGAAATATAAGTAATTTTGTGTATTGATTTTGTATCTTGTGACCTTGTTAAGTTCACTTATTCATTTTATCAGTTTTCTTAAATACCGTGTTTCCCCGAAAATAAGACCTACCCATAAAATAAGCCCTGGCAGGATTTCTAAGCATTTGCGCAATATAAACCCTGCCCCGAAAATAAGACCTAGTGATGGGCGTGGCTACGCAGCGCATCTGCACAACCCATGCATTTCTTCACAGAGCGGTAAAGACGACGAGCAGCCCTTCTCATCTGCCCCGTCGTGACAGCCACTATCCCAGAGGTGACCAGAAAGGTGCTGGCAGCCCCATCAACAAGGTCGGCTCCCTCTGTCAGGTCCTGGCCATCCTGTGCGTGCTGCAAGCTGAGGCTTTGAGGGGAAAGTCTCCTCAGTGCAGTGAGGAGCCGGACGCTCCGCTCTAGGTATTGTGTGTCCCCAGGGGGAAGAAGGAACGCTGTGGCTGCCATTGTACTCAGCACTGTGGGCCTCTCTCACCCCCCCACAAACACCACGGATAGGGGGAAAGCTTCAGCAAGCCGTCTCCTACTGAGCCCAGAGAGATCATTTCTGCTCCACTGTGCAGACTGGGCCCAGTGCTCACTGGGTCTCTGATAAATAAGCCAGCCCTGCTCATGTAATGAGAGCTCTATTGCTCAACGTGAGAGATCGGGGCCAATGGTTCTAAAGGAAAGAGAGTCGCAAGAAATTCAGGATGGAATTCGGGCGTTTGGAGAGTTATGATTATGTTCAGCAGAAGACGACTTAACTATATTTGAATAAATGTAGATTGTTGTACGTGTGTTAAAAATAACACATCCCTGAAAATAAGCCTAGGGTGTCTTCTTGAGGAAAAATAAATATAAGACCCTGTCTTATTTTCGGGGAAACACAGTACATATTTTTAGGACTGTCTATGAGTACAATCATACTACCCAGAAATAAAGACAATGTGCTTCTTTTCCAATCTGTATGCCTTTCATTTCTTGCCTTATTGCAATGTCTAGGCCAATCTCTGCCTTTTTAATGGAAGTATTTGGTCCATTTTCATTTAATATAACTGTTGATAGTTGGGATTAAATCTTCCACCTTGTTGTTTGTCTCGTCTAGTCTTTGTTCCTTCTTTCTTCCTTTCCATTTTTTTCCCTTTTGGATATACTGAGTATGTTTAGGATTCTATCTTATCTCCTCTTGACGCATCATCTATACCTGTCTTTCATGTGTTTGTGTGTTCTGTGGGGTTCATACACACCTCGATAACTTACTCACAGTGCACCTTTAAACACTGTTATGCTACTTGGCTTACTGTGTAAGAATCTTCAATAATATGCTTTCATTTTCTTCTCTGTATCCTTCATGCTACTATCATCACACATCCACTTCTACACATACTATAATCCTCCATAATACATTGCTATTTTTGCTTTACACAGACAAATTCATTATAAAGACATTAAAAATGAGAAAAAAGGCTTTTATATTTACCGCATATTTACTGTTTCTAGCAGTCTTCATTGCTTTGAATAGATCCAATTGCTATCTGGAATTGTTTTCCTTCAGCATAAAGATTATTCTTCCTTTACTGTATCCCATGTCTGCTGGTGGTAAATTCTCTCAATTTTTGTGTGTCTTGAAGTGTCGTAATTTTGTCATTTCATTTTTGGGGATTTTTGCTGAGTATTGTGGATTCTAAGCTGACAGTTTTATTACCCCCACCCAGCACTTTTTAGATGTTACTCTATGGTGTTCCGCCTTCTGCTGTTTCTTATGAGAATTCGGCCGCACATCTCATCATCATTCGTCTCACCTTGTTTCTTGTCGTTGTGGAAGTGTGGTCAGACTTCACTGCCCGGCCCGTGGAGCTCTGGCAGTTGTTCAGATCATAGCACCCGCCAGCCTCCCAGAGCCCCACACACGTGCACCTTGAGCCCCGCAGGCCTCCTCTGTCCCCAGCCTCCACCTGGGCCCCAGCCCCTCCCGGGCCTCACCTGTGTGCGCGCCCCATCTCAGCAGGCTCCTCTCTCCCACCTAAGGCTGCCTGTGGCACCCCCCCCCTCCCTCCAGACTGCCTGGCTTCTCTCCTCGGGGGGCCACGTCACCCACACCCTGTCTCTGCTGTCACGTCACCCTGGCCAGCCTCTCCGTCTGCTCCCCCTCGGCCAGCACCGGCCCCTGGTCCCCTGACTTTCCACCTGTGATGCTTGTGGTCTTTCTACACTCCCTCCCCACCTGGGCGCTCTCCTCACCTGGCCCTCGTGACTGCCAGTTCCCAGCCGATGTGGCAGTGGCCCTTCCATCCTGAATGTGCCCTTAAGTCCCCAGTGAAGGGAGATGCTGCCCAGGGCAGGGGGAGGGCCCGCCTGCATGGCAGAGCGGCCAGGTAGAGGCAGGAAGGGTGGCTCTGGGGCGGCAAGAGGCATGGGGTGCAAGGAAGGAACTGATCTGGCCTGGGGGCTGGGGGAGGCCCCTGAAGGGAGTGCTGGCCATGCAGGGCCTGGTGGCAGGTGCACATCTGTGCAGGCCCAGGCCAATGACAGCTGGAGTGGCCAAGGCAGCCCCTGTCCCCAGGGACAGCGCCTGCCACTCCCATAGCTGGTCAGGGGCCAGGCTGGGATTCAGCTCCAGGGCGCTGGTCCTGCCTCAGGCTTCCGTGGCTTTCTTCCCACAGTCGGGGGCTTCCAGCTGTCCCTGCACCCACCCAGGGGTGTCACAGTTGTTCAGGGCCCCTGGGGTTTCCCTGCTCAGAGCCTGCCTCCTCTGGGCATGCGGGACTCGGTAAGGGGTGCTCCCCAGCTGTGCTCAGCCCCAGCTCCCCAGACCCCACCGGACCCCAGTGTCCGCCTCCCGTCCCGGGCACTGACACTCTCTATGTTCCGCTGTGGCCGGGCTGGTCTGGCCACGCTCGGGGCCCACTGTGCCCCCCACCCCCACCCCCGTTCCCATGTCAACAGAGCCGCTCTCCATGGCTGTGGCCCCGTGGGAGGAGGTTGCCCCAGATTCGCGCTGTTCTGGGATGGATTCGTGGCGGCTGTGCAGCTCTGGGCCCAGGCCGCGGCCCCAGCCTGGGAACCGCTGTGCTGGCAGAGTGGCCGCGTCCCGCACCCCAGGGCAGGTCTCACACCCCCACATTCCCTAGCTCGACACTCGATCCAACGGCGGCTTCTCGCCTACTCTTCTTTTTTTCTGTTCACATCCTGATTCATCATCTGTTTATTAAACATGTGGATTTTTTGATTTGCAGTTTTTTGGGCTGCGAAGGCCTGGTCCCACCAGCTGTTTACAATCTATCATCTTGCACAAACAGCCTCCGCGCGGTTGTTATGCCGGCCTGTGCCTGGGAAAGAGAATCTGGGTATCCAAATATTGGACTTTCAGCTTAATAAACGAGTGTGGCTCTCAGCATTCACCTCCCCAGACTGACGGCAAATTTGCATATTCTCCTTGTTTGCTTTGCGCTCAAGGTTGATACCATCGTCACTATGTCATCCTAAGTAGACAGCCCCTGGGAAACAGAACCGATTGCTGTTACCTCGGCATTGAATTGGAGGAGCCAGGCACAGGCTCCTGGAGTGACGGGGCCCCAGGCTCTAAGGCTGCACCGTGGGGACCAGCACCCCCAGGCCTCGGGGCCTTGCTCCACCCACGGTTGGTACAGCCCCCGCAGGCTCCTCTCCCCGGTTACCATCCTCCTAGAACACAATCTTTCCCCGATAGACACGTGGGCAAAGGCCGTAAGTGGGTAGTTCAGAGTTATGAAAATCCAAATGGCTAATATACACATGGATAAAAACTATCTCACCAGTAATCAAATAAATGCAAAGCCAAATGGGAAGGCCCTGGCATCTTGTCCTGTCTGACAGCCGTCCCCCGTACAAACAGGTGTGGCCGCCGGGACTCGATGGCACCAGTTTCCGGGAAGGAACCTGCAGTGTCCTGCAGAGAATTCACACCTTTCAACCTATTTGTTCCGCCCTCCACAGGCGAGTCCAGAGGACAGGGGAGTGGCCGAGCATAACGCACAGACATGTTCTCACGGCACTGCTTGCGGTCAGGAGAAACAAGACGCATCTAAACACGTTCCTCAGTGCCTCACGGAATAATTACAACTGCCGAGAGAACGAAGGATGGAGAACTTGCAGCACAGAAGCACCTCCTGGAGGACGAGGTCTGGAGATCAGGGGAACGTCTGTGGCGATCAGGGAAAGCAGGGCGGGAAAACCTGCCAGTGGCTCTTGGGGACAGGTGGGGAGGGTGGCTGTCATGGGGGGAAGCGTCCAGACGTAGGTGGGGTGGTGGTCAGAGCTGGACACACTTGTCAGAACTCACCAACCTACACTTGAGATCTGCGCTTGTGTTGGATATAAACTGTGCCTTCATAACGTTGACTAAAATGTATGATGTGAAATTATACATGCAGACCTTTTCCCTCATATTAAAATACACAGGGAAAGAGGAATATGCTAAAACATCATTAGTAGTTCTTTTGGGACAACTGATTTGGGGAGTTGGACAATTTCCTCTTTACACCTTGTCTTCGACAACAGGTATTGTATGGTGCCGAATGGCGCCCCCAGAGGACACGCTCCTGTCCTGGTGTCTGAATTTGAGTGCGACCCTATCCAGGAACAGGGTCTTTGCAGACGTAATTAAAGTTCTGGAGATGAGGTCGTCTGGGATTACTTGCTGGGCCCGAATCCAGGGACAAGCGTCCTTGCAGGAGACGGAAGACACTGGAGGGACGGCCACGTGAGGGTCAAGGCAGAGACTGGGGGACGCAGCCACAGCTGAGGAGCACAGGAGCCACCAGCGTCCGGGAGAGCCAGGGACGGGTTCTCCTCCAGCGCCTCTGGGGGAGCACGGTCTTGCTGACACCTTGGCTTTGGACTTCCAGTCTCAGGACTGAAAGAGAACAGATTTCTCTAGTCTTAAGCCCCTAGTTTGCGGTCATTTTTTATGGCAGCCTCGGAAAAATAACACATGCTTGTAAGACCTATAACCAGAAAACAAAATGTACAATTAAAAAAAGAAAAATGTAGGAAAATATACAAATAACTGACACCACGTTCCAGGGATAAGGGGGGTGTGACAGGGTGAGGACACAGCCCTGCCGAGAGGGGTGGCCGCCGGTCCCTCTGCTGGCCAGGGTGGTCCCTCCTGTTGTCCGCTTCTCTTCCTGATCTCTGTTGTCTCTTGCTCTCTCCTCTTTTTCCTTCTTTTGTCTTTCTTCTCCTAATGATTATTATACAGAATAAACTTTTAGTTTTAATAGCACGTTAAAAGGATCATGCACCATGATCAAGTGGGATTTAACACTGGGATGCAAGGATGGTTCGACAAATACAAGTGGATAAACATGATACATCACCTTAACAGAATGAAGGACAAAAAGAAATGACCATCTCAATAAATGCATAAAAGGCGTCTGACAAAATTCAACATCACACTATAATAAAAACTTTTACCGAATTAGGTTTAGAAGGAATGCATTCAATACAACAAAGGTTATATATGACAGTCCCATAGCTAACATCATAATGCTGAAAAGTTGAAAATTATCAGGAACAAGACAAAGATGCCCACTCTTACCACTTCTATCCAACATAGTACTGGAAGTCCTAGCCAGGACATTAAGGGAAGGGAAAGAAATTAAAGGCATCCAAACCAGAAAAGAAGTTATATTATCTCTGTTTGTAGTGATATAATCTTATGTATGGAAAACTATAAAGACTCCACCGAAAAACTGTTATAACTGATAAACAAATTCAGTAAAGTCACAGGATACAAAATCAACATACAGCATAAGTAACATTTCCATACATTAATAACAAACTATCTGAAAAAGAAATAAGAAAACAATCCCATTTACAATAGCATAAAAAAACACAACAACTTAGGAATAAATTTAACCAAGGCCCTGAAGGACCTGTACACTGAAAACCACAAAACACTGATGGAAGAAATTGAAGATGACACATATAAAGGGAAAGATATTCTGTGTTCATGAATTGGAAGAATTAATATTGTTAAAGAGTCCTTTGCAACAGTATGCATGAACCTGGAGGACATTATGTTAGGTAAAACAAGCCAGGCACAAAGAGACGAATACCACATGATCTCACTTGTTTGTGGAGGGTAAAGACATCGAACTCACAGAGCAGAGGGTAGAATCGTGGTTACCAAGGGCCGGGGTGCAGGGGTTGGGGAGATATGGGCGCAGGACACAAAATCTCAGTGAGATAGGAGGAATAGGCTCAGAGGTCTGTTGTACATGGTAGTGACTACAGTTAACAATACACTGAATACTTGAAAGTTGCTAAGAGAGTGGATTTTAGGGGCTCTCGCCACAAAAACGGTATGTGAAGTAATGCGTATGTTAAATAGCTTGATTTAACTATTCCACAATGTATACATATATCAAACATCATTTTGTATACCATAAATAGGCACAGTTTTTACTTGTCAATTTAAAAAATTTTAAACAATAAACACAAACCCTGTTCGGAGGACAGGAAGCATGCCTATGTCATTTCTCCATGTCTACTGCATGATGGTCCTAGTGTGTAGTTGGTGCTCCATAAATGTCTGCTGAATGAATTAAAAGATAAAATTACAGTTTTAAAAGTAAGAACATCTTGCTGAGTCCAGTTTGACTAAAATCGCCTCCCTCCCCTCATCCACATATCCCACGGCCGCCCGTCTGCCTGGGCCACGCCTGGCACCTCAGCCGCCTGCAGCCCTCCCCTCTGAACCCGCCCCCTCCATCGGCCTCCGACCCCCACGGAGACGACGATCTCACTCACCGCTCTCCTCCTGCCCGTGCCCTGCTCCCGCCGTCTCCAGCTGCTCCACTCCCTGCAAATTGGAGTCCGGCTCCTCGTCCTGGTGACGGGATCTCCACGGCCCTTCCCGAACTTCCCAACTCCTCGGTCTTGGCCTCTCTCCCACGCGATCTAGTCCCCTTTCCAGGGGGTGCCCTGCTCCCCAGAGGCCTTGCCGTCATCTTTCCTTGAACTCAAGTGGCCCCTGCCCGGCCCGGCTGGCTCCGGGGTCTGCCCCAGCTCCGGCCCCGCACCCACCATCCATCCACCCCGTGCTGAGCTGAGTTTTCAGCGCTGCATCCCCAGCGGGTGCCCCTCTCCCGCCTCGCACGCTGTCTGTGGCCTAAGGAAGAGAGACGCTGGCGCCAGCCCTGGGGACTCCGGCACCCTGGTGGCCCCTGCTCTTCCTGGGCATCGCCTGCTTTCTGGTTTCCTCCTCCTCTGTCCCCCGGGGCCCGCTCAGCCCTGCTGTGCCTGATCGGGGACCCCGCTGGGCCTGGTCGGGGACCCCGCTGGGCCTGGCCATCACGGCCGAGGGTCACCCTGAGCATGAGCTGGGGTTGCGCCCTGACCTGAGGAGTTGAAGTGTGCACCCTGCCTGTCCCCCGTGACTCCCACTGCTGGCCGCCTGCCTGCCCTCCCCGAATTGTCCAAGCCCAGTAAACGGTAGCTTAGGCCTGATCTCGGGCCCACTTACCTTGCCTTCCTCTCCCCGACCTGGCACTGGCTCTCGGTGTGAGCAGCCCCAGCTCTCTGCCACCCTGCATCCCCGGACCCTGTGAGCTCTTTGCCCCAGACCCAGCTTTTCCCCACGCCGTTTGCAACCAGAACTGGAGTGCCCGCCCCCGCCCACCCACACCCACACCTGCCCCTGGGGCCTCCCGAGTCTTCCCCAAAGCTCACCAGCAACGGAACACCCCAAACACGCGCAGCAATGCGGTCAGGGCGCGGAACCCTTTCCCGCATCCATCCCTTGCTCAGCCGTCCTGACTCACAGGTGGGCGGCCTGTCCTGGCTTGCTCATCTCGCGCTCCCTGCCTGCCCACCACACGCGTGCTCAGGCGGCTCCGGGCCAGCCTGGCTTCAGGGACTCCCAGCGCTGCCCTGAGGCCAAGCAGAAAGGCCTGTGGTGCTCCAGGAGGGGGAAGGGACCGGGAGGACCCTCGCCGGGGCTCCTGCCCCCACCCACGTCTTACCGCGTGACCCGAGTCAAACCCTTCCGTTCTCCAGGCCCCGGTTTCCAGCCTGCGAAGGGACTGGGCCGGCTCTGGCCCCTGCTGCCCGCTGCTCACCTGGAGAGAAGCTCCTGCTCTCCTGGCCGGAAGCCCCTTCCCTGCTGCCGGGCGGTGGCCTCGCCCCACTCGCAAAGGCCTCGCAGAGGGTCTGGGCAAGGTGTGCACAGGCCTGGGGCCGACAGGCCAGGCTGGGGTGGGGGCCGCACTGTTTACTTGTTCCCTCCCCAGAGCGTCGCCATGGTGACCCGGCACCAGCTGATGTCACGCTGCCCTGCACAGGCCGGAGCTTTTATGTGTCTGGACAGAGCTGCTTAAAATGCCGAGGTGCCCGGCCAACTCGCTGGGCAGTGCTGTTGGCGAATGCGTGACGTGCAGAGACCAGATGCGCCGTGCGGGCACTCGGGGCGGGGGGCGGCAGCGTCCGGCTGCTCTGCGCAACCGCTGCGTGCAGGGTGGGCAGGGGCTGCTCTGCGGGCAGGAGGAAGCACCCGGAGCCGTGGCAGGGAGTGGGCAGGAGTGAGAGGAGTGGGCAGGAGTGGGAGGATGGGCAGGAGTGAGAGGAGTGGGCAGGAGTGGGGAGGAGTGGGCAGGGAGTGGGGCAGGAGTGGCAGGAGTGAGAGGAGTGGCAGGAGTGAGGCAGAGTGGGCAGAGAGTGGGGAGGAATGAGGAGTGAGAGGAGTGAGGAGGAGTGGGCAGGGAGTGGGAGGAGTGGGAGGAGTGGGCAGGAGTGGGGAGGAGTGAGAGGAGTGGGCAGGAGTGGGCAAGAGTGGAGGAGTGGCAGGAGTGGGCAGGAGTGGGGAGGAGTGAGAGGAGTGGGAGAGTGAGGAGTGGGCAGGAGTGGGAGGAGTGGGCAGGAGTGGAAGGGGTAGAGGGAGTGGGCCCAGGAGTGGGCGGAGTGAAGGAGTGGGAAGGAGTGGGCAGGAG